ACTCGCATTAAAGACGTCTGAAAGTTATGACTACTTAAAACTAAGAGGCAAACTATTCAGAAAAGTGCAATGATTACCAAGCCATCTCAGGTAAGGCCACAGAGTATAAAAAGCTATAAAAGAACCAGAATACCTTTTTAGCTAAAAACAGGAAGCTATGCCCTGAAATCCTATTTTTTCCAAATAAAAATGAAAATAAGCCTCTAGTTACACAGGATGACACAGTATAAAACAGTCAGCAAGTTCTAACCACGTAATAGGCTGGAGCAGAGATGACTAGTGGCAGGCCTGGCACTGCTGTGCCCAGAGCTGGCCCCATGTGCCTTGTCTGGCCCACAGAGCGCAACAGAAAGAAAACCAAACACAGATTCCAGCTTCTTTGACAAACTGAAGGGTCTCTGTCAGTGCATAGACCTGCACAGACACTCATATACGTGCACACACATATGTGCACACACATCCCACATATGCGCACACACATGCACAGACTCACACACATACTTGTGCACCTATGTACACGTGCAGATCTGGGAAACCTGACTTCACGTGTACACGGCAGCCTGCCCTCAAGGTAAGCAATACTTTCCTCTTCAAACATACTAATAAATTAGAAAAGACAGACACCGCTAATCCTCCACAAAATGAAAAGGCATTTGTTAAACTCCAACACCTACTTTCAACTTTAAACAAACAATCTACAAACGGGAAGAGGGGATCAAACGTATCTGAACACAACACTCAATCTCACAGGAGACACCAAAAGCCATCAGAGCAAAGCCGTGGGAGTGCACGGGAACAGCCAAGAGGAGCAGCCAAGAGGAAGAAGCACAGCTTAAGCTGGGGAAGGACAGGTGGCAGTGGGGTCACTTACACACGGCCTCGTAGTGCACCTCAAGGATCTGAGAGAGCCCAGGAAGACGCCAGAGCTGTAACATTCGAGAAGCAACACCCTTCCAATCTGCAAGTGACACCCAGGAGAAAATATGAAAAGGCCACTAAAATGCCCAAAAAAGAAGGAAGAGAAGATTGGAACAAGGGGAAATGCATATCCTACTGTTTTCAGCGAGATTGAGAGGTATAAGACATCAGCCCTCCGGCTTAGCACATCACTTACGTACAAACCCCAATTAGCAGGAGATTCTAAACTTCCCAAGAAAAAAAAAAAAAAAAAACGATAAAACAATCAAGCTACACTTCAGAAAAAATGAGCTCTTCAGTAAGTGGGGCTGGACAACTAGCTCTCCACATGCAAGACTAGGATCCTGGACCCATACCTCAGCCACAGACGGACAACAACTCAACCAAGTCAACAACACACACTGAAGAGCTGAGACTACAAAACTCTTACAAGAAAACGTAGGAGTAAAACCTTGTTTTTGACAATGGATTCTTAGACAATACCAGAAGCATGAGCAACAAAAGAAAAAACAGATAAACTGTACTTTCTCAAAATTAAAATGCTTTCTGCATCATAGGGCTTTACCAAGAAGGTGAAAAGACAACCAACAGAATGGGAGAAGATACTTGGTTACCATTACCTCATAGGGGTTTAATATGCAGAACACATAAAGAACTTCTACAACTTAACAAAAAGACGAAGAACCCACTCACAAAGGGCAAAGGACTTGACGGGACACTTCTCCAAGAAGGACGACATGCGAGTAATCAATAAGCACGTGCGAAGATGCTCCGCATCCTCGGCCCTGAAGGGAACGCCGATCAAATCCAAGCAAGCTGTCACTCACAGCCACCAGACAGCCAAGACGGGGAGGGGCGACAGGCACTAGGGAGGGCGTGGAGAAGAAAGGACGTGGAGAAATGGGACCCTCGCCCACAGCTGGTGAACGGAAAATGCTGCGGCCGCTGTGCAAAACTGTGGGGGGGCCCTCACGGAGATAACCTGGACGCCACAGGCCCCAGCAATCCCACTCCCAGGAATAAACAGACATGGACACACACACACAATGCAACATTAAAACCACGTGCCACGGAGTCAATTCTACTGCACAGTGCAACCTTCATGATAAAATCCTGGGTAATAAAGCTAACCACAAGCTCACTTTGAGGTCTCCGTGGACAGCCAACGTAGAGGACAAGGCCGTTTGTCTCAGCTTCAGATTGGGATGGATCGCACCTGCCTAAGTCTACGGGAAGAGATTTCAGACTCTTCATGGAGCCCCATAGCTCCTCACTCAGGAGACAGTGCCCCACAACAGCTTCTTAAAGGTTTCAGCAAAGTAACTGAAGCCGCCAGCCTGGGGGATCGTCTCAGTGGTTCCCCAAACCCACTCACTAGATGCACATCAACTCTCCATCAGACCTGAGGCAACACTAACCTACAAGGCTACCACAGAGCAAGACATGCACACAGAAATGATACACACACACCCAAATGCCCCTTTTCCATCCCACCTGTCTAGATACTAGGAGAAATCAAAGGATACATGGTTTCCATTCCACAGTCCATGTGTTCACTGGGGGCTGGGGAGGGGGACAGACCCAGGGGAGAGGAGACCAGGAGGACAGTGCTGTGGATCTCACACCACACGTGACTCATGAGAAACGGCTCTAGAAGAGAGCTGAGAACAGAGATGACACTGGTACCCCACGCTTCACAGCAACGAAGTCCCCCAAGGCCCCTGGGAGGAGGGCCACATCCCCAAAGGAACAGTAACACTCCCAAGAAAGCCTCTTAAGGAGACCCTTCCACCAAAAGACAAGGCCTCCTGACTGAAGGGGCCTGTGCAAAG